GCCTTCGAAGTTCCAGTCCACGGTCAGACACTGAAAATTATCATAACTACTCGGGCAGATGACTTCGGGCAAGCTGCGTCCAGCAAGCTCGCCTTGACAACACGTCCAAGTAGAGTAAATCAGATAGAACCACTTTTTTCTCTCCATAGCGAAAACTCACTCCTGGCAGACATGATGACGTAGAATCTGCGAGAAGAGCACTCCGTTCATGTGCGCCTATACGTAGCCACTAAAGTCTCATCAAATCACAAAGTATATATAGGCTTAAATAAGCCTTATACTAACCTTTGATCGCGTAAACAGAAAAGAGACTGATGATTAGATTTTCCAGCATTTATATAAGTTTGTCTCACGATCACACGGAATTTCATTTAGCCTTCTTCCCAAAGTGTATTCTTTATTCATAGTGATCTATCCTAGCAACGATTCCACAATTAAATGTAATAAATGCTGGACCTGGCCTTCCTTGAATTTCACGTCTGTCCCTTGCAATGTGACGCAGTGGCAGTTGTCAAAATCGAACGATACTAAAATTAGACCATATTTGACAGTTCAATCCAAGATATGAAGACCATGATGAGGTGGCCTTTAGTTTGTTTGACCTTGCTTTCGCAACTGGGTTTCGATGAGTCTCCTGAGATAACATTGCTGGGGAGATCTGAACGTGGTAGCAACGCCAAACGGCCGTCGTCTTCTGGTGAGAGAAAGCTAAGAATCTCATTTTCGTGAACTTCAACATGAAATGAAGATCTCTCCAATAATTTCGCAACTTGGTCATATTGGTAGGAAGACCTATAGAAACGCACCTTGTCTGGAATCCATAGTATGCATGATAATTTCCAGTCGGAAGGTGGACTGGGTACATTCCCAGACGTAACGCCGGCATCGTCATTGAGCTTTGCCATTGCTAGCACCACACTACAACTCGTCAGAGACAAGTAAAGTCGATCCTAGGACCAAATGTCTTCTAAACAGTTGTGGTATCTTTCCTCGATTGGCACAGATATGATGGCAGTGATCGTGTGAATTGACTGAAACAGGAAGATAAAAAACGGATCCTACGGGGCAAGTAGAAAACGCTGCTATGACCTGGATCATAGGAATGACGACCATAGGGCAGACTCAGATCAGTATTTCTAGCATAAGGATTGGTTAGGTGAGAGGGGGGTGGTAAGCCAGCGTGGGGTGTAAATAGGTCTCGTGAAATCCGCACAAAAGGACACGGAAGAACCACGTTTAAATAATTAAGTAAGTAATTATGATAGTGCAGGATATGGAGAGATACCACATCTGATCAACATATAATTGGTCAAAGGATCGAGTTCACTTGTCTCTTTGACGAATTGTGGTGTGGTGCTAAGAACGGCAAGGCTCATTGACGATGCCGACTATAATTCCGGCAAAATGTCTGGGAATGTACAAAGTCCGCGGTCCTATTGTAAAAATTATCATGCATACCATAGACTCCGAGCGAGATGCGCTCTTCTAGGTTTCCCTGACAATATGACCAATTTGATGAGTGAGTTCACCCCATTTCATTTAAAGTGACAAGGAGACTGGTAGTTGTATTTTTCCCACAATGATATGTGTAGACTTTACATTTTCATTGAATTTCACATTGCTTTGCTTTCCCAAATGGTATTCTCATTCAGGCAGGAATGGACTGCACGTTCGACCTCGCCTAAGTCTTATCAACACACAGAGCGGGAGTCGAACGTATAATCTCGACACGTCAACCATTGCACCTCATTTCCATGAGTGCCCTTGTGTCAGAGGGCAGATGTGAATTTGAAGGAAGGCCAGACATTTGTCCATATCACATTCTGTGCTGGGATTGTCGTTAAGGCAAAGCTGTATTTGCTATAGCAATCGACTACGTCTAGAAAAACTACCTATAAACGGAACAATAAGGTAATCGATTGCTATAGCAAATACAATTTTGCTTCATCAACACTCCCACTACAGAATGTGATATGGGAAAATGCTTGGCCTTCTTTCAAATTCACACATACCCTGTGACCCAAGGGCACTCGTGGGCAATGCGACGTAGTTGTTAACGTGTCGAGAATGGTTCGAGTCCCGCTGGGGTGCTGATGAGGCCCAGGAGAGATCGAAACTGCAGCCCACTCCAGCCTGAATGAGGATACCTTTTGGGAGCCAAGGCTATGTGAAATTAATGGAAATGAGAAGATTCCTTATCACTTTAAACCAATACACTTTATAAATAAATTATCTACTCGTTATCCCGAAAGCCTACTTAAAGACAAAGCAACAGTTGAGAAAAATAGGTCAACCAACTTGTGTATTAGGCAGGTTTGATCTCCATTTGGGGAACTCCTTAGACCAATTCAGACAAGGTCGAAAATACGATCCAATCCAGTCTGGATGAGAATATCTTTTCGAAAGCAGGACTAAGTCAAATTCTTGGAGCGACATTCATTTGGTATGAAAGTGCATGAGGAAGAGTCTCGTAGGTCATTTGGCTTTTACACGATGTTCAGTTTGACGTCCCCCCAATAATGTTATCGTGGGGGATTCATCGAAATTCAGTTATTCTTCGTAAGTTATAGTAACTGTAAACGTGCGACCTACTCATCTCTTTATGGAGAAATTCGATTATTATTTGCTTCATCACCTATCGCGATCTGGGTTGGCTAGCCATTAGTTGGCACCCGTATCTCTAGAGTTTCTCGATTCTCTTC